AAAAATTGTGAACAGATGCAAGGTCATTATTGATAATGATCGTAATCAAACCGATGAACAAAAGAGCCAATTACTTGATATGTTAGTCATGTATAATTTGACCAACGTCCTATTAGAAAAGTAAGTTGATATATATAATATATGATATTTTTAAGCAATAATATAATATATTACAGTATAAGTATTTCATATTTTTATTATTATACTTATTTTTACTTATGTGTTAAAGGTGAATAAGCGTTATCTAATCTATATATATGTATAAATGCAGTTTCTAATATAGTGATACAATTATTAAGTTATATTACAATAACTTAACTAAATATTGATATTAATATAAGTATTTTAATCAATTGACAATCAAATGAAATAAATATAAAATAATAAATGTGAAAGTATAAAATACATATTGAGTTGTTAAGCATAAAATAATCAAAAATGTTTGTTGATAATTAAAAAGGGTAATTATATCTTTAGATAAATTATTAATTATATTTATTATTTAATGATCATTAATTAATAACGAATTGTTGTTGGGGTAGTAAAAAATTATATGCAGTTCAAAATACATTACAAATGTTAAACGTTATGTAAATAATTTTGCATGGCTTGTTTATTTTATGTTGTTAATTTTATACATAAAACGTGCTTCGTAATGTAACAACAGGTAAAGTCAAATTTATAACCCTAGTGCTTAAATAAACTTCTAATTATTATAATAAGTTTATAATTATCTAATTATAAGGTGCAAAGTTATTAAACAACCTGAATTAAAGCAACGTCATTTCCGTGATAAAGTAATCAAATTAATATCAACATTTCAAACTACGGAAACCCCGATGCCTGTTGAACAAAATAACCATGATATTTTAATTGAAAAAAATATCATTGGTACTGGATTAAGTTATAAACCTATGCAGATATGTAACAATGTGAATAATTCAGCCCGAATAGACAATCATATTGTATCATTAAGAAACGATACTGAAACAATTTATAAACCTAAATCAATGTCATACTTAGAGACAGAAAATGATTATCAAAAAAGGTTCAGTACTTCATCGGAAGTTAACTTTCAAATTGAACCTGTTTATAATAATAATACTAAGGCATTACAAACGATAATTAAAAGTGAAATTCTACCAAAATATGATGCATATGTCACAGAAATGCTAAATAATGAGCAAACTGATTTATTAAATGCACTGGACACTGCTGATAAATATATGAAATCAAAATGTCTTAATGAATTTATGAAATTTTGTAATAGCAATAGTTATTCATCAAGATTAATAGAAATGTATGCAGATTCATTAGAGTGGGACATTAAAATGGAGAAAACTAAATTTGAAAGTATATGCAAAATGAGGGCCAAAAATGCTGATAAAATATGTGCTGACCTGGTTGATAAGTTTGTAGTATCAATTCGAAAAGAGCAAGATAATTTTATCGCACAGCTAAGTAATGTTGATAAATTTAATGTTAATGTTGATTTAATATGTAACGCGATTCTCCAAGAATTTAATAATGAACTGTTTGAATTAAAGGGTATGAGCAAAGTTTACCTTAAGAAGTTACAAAGATCAATTCAAAATATTAAGAAATTGTACTTTAAATTTAATGACAACTATTTTGAATTTATCGAAAACTGTCAAAAGGTGTGTAGTCGAGACACACTTGAAATTAAATTGGACCATTTAAATTTATATATTATTGGGCGTCGTGAATTAAATGCCGAGTATCAAAATGATAGTTATCTATGTGACAAATACCGAAAAATAACTGACAAAGCGCTTTCTGACTTTGAACGCAAAATAACTGAAATTAACATGGTTAATAAAAATTTAATTGATAATTGCAGTTCTTTGGCGAAAACTAGTTATAAATCAATTATGTCAGATTTATTAAAAAATTTGCCATTACCAGATGAACGTTTTAGACAAAAACATAATACAGTTTGTGAGTCGATAATAAATGATATATGGAACAAATTTAACATTGATCAATTTAAACCTAGTGTACAGACTAAATGCGAATTAAAAATATCAGAAAGCATTAATGAGTCATATAATGACTATTTACACATTAATCGAATGAATTTTAAAAGCGTCAAGGCAAAAGAAACTAACAAAATTGAATCCAGGTATGTTTATAACGAAAATACCACAAAGAACTCCGAATATATTGATAAAACAACACATAATAATAAATCTGAACAAATAAACAAAATAAACTCACATGTAATTTCTGATACCGAAAATGATATAGTTCCTAAATATGCAAAACCAAATGTTAATATCATTAACCAATTTGAAATTAAATATACTCAAGATCAAAATATTGATAATAATAACACTACTGAGAAAGTTTATAAAGCTGAAGATTCACAAATAAACTCTACAAATAATTCATTGGTACCATGCTCACCAAGAACTACGCCGGTGCCATATAAACATAGAAAACACGGTAAAATTAATATTAGTAAATTAATAAGTAGCTTTTATAACATTAATCGCAGAATGATACAAACATTTTGTACCAATGTGACACATAAAATGAATGGCGATTTTATTGCCAAGGATAAATTTAACCAATTTTTAAACCGAGAAATTAGTAAAACTTTACGTGAATCTGAAACCCACATCGATAATTTCAACTTGGAATACGAGCAAGATGAAGTAAATAATATAAAACAAGTTTTAAAGTCCAAACTCCAAGAAAGTTTACTCAACAAAAGTAGTAAATTTAAAATCAAAAATTTTCGCAACTCCATGCAAACCGAGTTTATTGGAATACACCTTGGACAATTACATTATATTGTTGGCTATTATAGAAAAGAGCTTAAATATGTCACTGATAATTTTAATAATAGCTACATTAATAATTGTATTGGATTTAAAGATTGGCTAATTTATGGATCGGAAGCAAAAGATTATTATAAAGATTGTTACAACGAATTTGATATTAAAGATTTACTGTGGAATAAATGTCCCAGTGAAAATGAATTGAAAATGTACCCGTTCAATAAATGGAGACACGATCCACTACGTGTTATATTGCAGAATGATCATGATAAAAATTCACATGAAATAATAATTGAAACATTGGTTGCTGCACAATTATTTGATATTAAAACCTTGGCAGAAAAGCAAATGAATAACATGATTAAAGGGGCAGTATTTACTGTGCCGGCTGACTACACAATTAATCAAAAGAATTCAATCAGGGATGTTGCTAGCATTGCCGGGTTTGACCACGTTCATATAATTGATGAAATAACTGCGGCGGCCATTGCCTATAAAATTGACGTTAATAGAGAATATTCAATAGTTGATAATATTATAATTATTGCGGTAAACAAGCACAAATGTGAATTTAGTTTAATTCGGATTAGTAACACTGAAATTGAATATCGTTCCTACGAAAAACATCTGTTGGATTTGAGCCAGGATATTTTCATTATAAACGAAATCAGTAAGAATTATGTGGATAATATATTTTCCTTCATTAAAATGAATGAAAAAATTATATCAAAAATCATATTTATTGGAAATTTTGAAAATTCTTTGGAATTAAAGAAAATTATTTTTAAAAATATTGACAAAGGTTATTTATTGTATTCGTGCGATCCGATTGAAATAATAATAAAGGGCACCGTATATTATACGCAAATGTTAGAGAACAGATTGGACATGCTCATAATCAAGGATATCATTAAAACCAAATTAGATGTAACCATTCAAATGAACGACAAAAATGATGTTGAGGGATATACACTCAATAATAGTAATAAAATAAATAATCCAAAATATACCAATTTAATCAAGGCGAAAATTTCACCAACTTCATTTCCCTTGATTATAAATATCATAGAAAATGGAAAAATTGTTAAATATTGTAAAATTGAAAATCAAATTAATAGTAAATCAAAGAATCTGCTTGGGAAGATGTTTACCCAGAAATCGTTAAAAATATTTTACAATGTTAATAATATTAAATTTTATTTGTTTATCAAAGACAAAAATAAGCCAGCAAACAATATCGAGATTGATATTGATCTGCAGGATACACCATTACGTTTATCACTGCAAAATATTATTGATCAAACTAAACTAATACATGAGCTAGGTATTTTTAATATTAAAAACAATGATAAACTGAGATGCATAAGAAACACCTCGATACGAAAGCGATCATAAACTATGCTTTAATATAATTATACTGTACATTATTGTTTAACAGTATAAGTTATAGTAAAGCATAGTTTATAATGACTTTTGTATTAATGAAATATTCTAAAAAATATGCATCAACATTAATTATGATAATTTATATGTTGCCAGAGCAAATAAAAAATTTGAAAATCAAAGAAAATAAACGTTTCGAGTTTCCAAACGAATTGTTTAACAAAACACCCGTGCTAAAAGCGTGCTACAAATTTCTAGAAACTATAGGCGCCGGAAGTTACGGTGAAGTTTACAAAGTTAAAGATATTACCGACGAACAAATATACGCCATTAAAAAGATTAAGATCAAAGGCAATAATATTTATTTTAATTTACTTTATTTAATTTATTTAACTAACACAATTATTTAAATTATTTATATCATGTTAATTTTATAGAAACCGAACGCGACACGCTGAAACGTGAAATTTATAGCCTGCTCAATGTTAGCAAAAAGTATTGCGTCAAATACTACCGCTCGTGGACCGAGGATAACTGCATATTTATCACCATGGAGTTTTGCGGGCAAAATCTGAAAACTATTATCAAGGATAAGCCGAAAGTGTTTGACCGAAAACCAGACGAACCAATGGATTTGTACGAGTATTTCATATCATGCGAAATATTTCGCGAATTATTAGAATGCGTTCAATATTTACACGATAAAAAACCACCAATAATTCACCGTGATATTAAGCCTGATAACATATTGATCGCGTATAATGCGAATAAAGGTCGATATATTAAGCTTGGTGATTTTGGGTTGGCAGTTGTTCATAGGACCATGTCCATGAGCCATTCAGCGTGTGTTGGAGCGTCAAAATATAGGGCACCGGAAGTGGCCTCGAAAACCACCGGTAAGACCACGTACTCGACAAAGGCTGACGTGTGGGGGACGGCGCTAGTGGCCAGCGATCTGTTTGATATGACTGTCAATGAGTTTGTATTTAATTTACATTTCAATTAACATTAAATTTACTAATTATTACAAAATGTCTAGTCATTAGACTCTAATGTAATATAATAGATTTAATATGGAAAGTAAGCTCTATAAACATAACATGTGTTGTAGCCCCTGAAAGGTTTGTATCATTTGTATTGCATTCAATGAATACCTCCCATGGCAAGTGCAATACAAATAATATATAAACCATTCACGGGCTACAAACCAAGTCATGTTAACTGTCTATTAGTAATAGAGCTTATATTAAACTATGCTTTATCATTTTTATACAAAAACAATCTCTTTAGCGTTCATATTTCTTTTTAAAAATGTATCATAATTATTAATGTTTTAGATAATTTCCACAATGTTAATTGATTTTATAATTTTATTTAGTTTGGATCGCTACACATGCAACAACTTATATCCAAATATAAAAGTTTTACTAAATAACCTTGTTAAAATGTTGATAGTTAAGTATGAGGAACGACCCACTTGTCGCGATATATTAAATGAGAGCATATACTGGGCTATTGACAAAGATTTGATTAAAAATGACAACAATTACGACGCGACCGTTGAAATGACCAAGAAGTTTGTCAGTAATAATAATTTTTTTTACAAATACCTGGCTGATAAAACAAAAGAGTGAATGTCAAATTTTAATAACTATAAACATTTTAATATGATTAAACCTTTATGTTTAAATATTAATTGTAAAAATAAATAAACATTTTAGTAATTCAGATATTCATAATACTAGTATATACGTGCGCCTAAATCTGAAATATCTAGCACACAATTTTCAAACATCGATTTGATGTATTAAATAAGAAGGGTCACGGTTTCCCTATATAACAAATGCTCACTCTATTCCTGTAACACTTAAGAACAATAGACTCATCATAAGTAGTATACTGTATTGTCTTGCAATATGTCTAATACACACCCAAATAATACATAAGTAGTATATTATAAATAAGGGTTAGATTTTACTACTGATTAATTGTATATAATATTAATATTTATTTTTAAAAAATAATTTTTTATTAATAAAGATAGACATAGAGTTATAATGTTTATATTTATATACGATAATAAGATTTCTATAATAATTGTATATATTCAAAATAGGATATGCATGACTAATAAACATGGAATTTAGATACATAAACAATTCATACCGGTATTAACAATTAAATTCTTACATAACATTATTACAGAATACCGCATTATCAATATTGACAATCAGTATTGATGCCTGATAACTTTATTAAAAGTACAATAAAATTAGAATAGCTTTTACTAACTAAATAATTTACCTTTAGATCTGTTCATTATAATTGCCAAAATAAATTAAACTATGTTCTCAACCACTATTGTTTGAGACATTTTTTAAACAGTGGTTTAGAGTATTAAGCTTTGACTCAAATCATAATAGATAATAAAAGTCACTAAATAAAAGCAAATTCAACCCTGTTCAATTCATATGCTCCCATAAAAACTGAAGTAAATAATTACCAAAACTAAAATTGCCCCTAAAATAGTATTGATTACGAAATACTTGAAGTAACCTGGTTGAATATTGAGTTTTGATTCAATCCACATGACTTTGAACTGCAAAAACGCAATTTTGAAGTCAAGGGACTGGCAGTCGGGTGCCAGTGAGCCGTACGTCTCAATATGGGACACCGTTTCACCGCATATTTGGGTCACATTTCGGGTTTTGATGACCAATACGGCGGTCAATGTTAACCCGTATGCGATAATAATAGCCATCAGTGCGTTGCATGGTTTATAAATAGCGCAATCACCCTGGTAGATTAATGAAATACCAAACAACACCGCTTTAAACACAATGAAGTAGAAAATCTGAAATTTCCGGTATATTATCATATCATTTGCTGCGATTTTGAATAAATATGTAAACCTAGGTGGAATTCATAAATAGATAATTAAGTGTCTGATTAGTTTTTATTAACTCACCTATTATTGATCGCTATCATGCAATCTGCAGTGACATTGCCGTTATCAATTAGACCCTGGATCATATCATTCAAAGTCCGAAAACTATTGCATATCTCATCGAAAATGTCCGAAAATAGCATCAAAACGATCGACACGTACGCTATATTAAAGCAAGTGAGCATGCTAAATATTATACGTTCGTAATAATTGCTTGGGTCAAATAACAAATCTTTGGTCAAATAACAGTATATAAGCCATAATACGCAACATACTGCCACTATTATAGACTTAAACAATGTGCCTGGTCCTTTGCGAGCATTATGGTACAGATTAGCGTTGAGTTGATTACGACAGAAATAGTATCTATTAATGATTACAACACTCGTTGTATTCCAGGTTAAGGCCATTATATAGCCAATGAGGGGCTGGAAGCCAACCGGTAATATGTTGAGCACTGTATGCCATATCAGGATTATGTTGAGCACCAGTGCCCCGTGAATGGACAGATACCACACGATTGACATAGAAATCCTTTTCCACGGTTTAGTTGGCGTTGTGTCGTAATCTGTGAGATAATTATTAGCTATAAGCCTAATATTGTACTTGCTAATAAAATAGCTTTGTTTACAATACCCAGTAAATAGTTGTCTCTCTTGTTATCTATTGATACGTTAATCACGACTGGAGTGGACACCCCTTCGCACACCTGGACATCGCTTTTAGTGTCATTTGTTTGCGATATATTCAGCAAAGTGTAGGACATTTTGGTTGACAACAAATTAATTGACAAATTAAACACAATAAACTATCCACTACTTAGCACATCATATTATTGTATACATATATTATATAATAATATACTGTATATTATTGTATTGTATAGTATCTTACAATCATTTTTGTTTCACATTTCCAATGCGCATACACAAGTAACTCTATATTGTATCCTACTATTTATAAAATTTATTTTTCAAAGTTACCATGATCACAATATCTATATCAGAATGTAGATCATGTTACATGATTCATGTATAAATTATGTACTTGTATATCATGTATATGTATATTATTTATATGTAAGTATAGCATCAAATCAATTTGTATGTTATTTACTTTACAATATTTATAAAACATCATTTTTTAAAATAATAATGTATTTTAAAACTATTTTAAAGTTAATAAACTATTTTAAAACATGGTAAGAAATTGTAAGAAATGAATGTTTGAAGCCAAACCACTATTATTTGTGAGACAATTAGGACACCGGATCTACAATTAATCTTATATTTTAAACAATTTACTAAATCTAAATCTAAATTTAATAATCACTTAATCATTGAAACAAATAAATCTGTAATACTTAAAAAATAAATAATTGAATAGATACTGTAGTGTATAGAAAAATGAGTATACATTTATTGGTATTTAATTGGGATATTTAAAAATAATATAAACCGTGTAATACGCGTAATACATAATTAATATTTAAATAAATAACACGTAACACTCGCAAAATAAATAGCAATTAAAATACTGGTCGACTACTACCGACGGTTACACTGGACAAACCCGGCTCCGCCTAAAAATCCCCAACAAATATTGGAGAACAGGTACAACTTGATAGGTGTGGGTGGCTTAGTAGGCGGTTTGGGAGGTAGTGGTTGCTGGGCCGGAATGGTAGTGCTGTTTGGGGGTAACAAAGTTGCGTTGCCGGTGGGAACTGGGTGTTTGTTAAGCTTATGGCCGAGAGTATTATTGACCACCTGTCCCATTAGTACCTTTGCCGGAATCGGTACCATCGGGGGCACCGGTATCACCTTATGTACGCTCGAGTTGACATTCACGTGGACTACCGGTGCGGCCACTTTGATCGCTATGATAAAGGAATTCATTGTAAAAACACATTTAGTTTAGTATTGAATTAAATATTAGGTGATATTAGGTATAGTAGAGCTAAGGGGGAACTGGAGGTATAGTCATACTTTGGAAACAGCAGGCGATGTGGTGTTCCCGACAGTTGATGGACAATATGATGGACTGGTCGGTCAGTGAGGACCGGAAATAGGCCTGTCGTGTGTCGTTGACCGACCGAAACGTTTTGATCATTTGTCCCTTTTTTAGGTCGCATATGAGCCCCGATTTAGTGCACCCGACGGCCAAACACGAGGGAAAGGTATTCCGGCCCACAATCCTGTCCTTTACGACTGAAACTAATTGACAAANCGTTGACCGACCGAAACGTTTTGATCATTTGTCCCTTTTTTAGGTCGCATATGAGCCCCGATTTAGTGCACCCGACGGCCAAACACGAGGGAAAGGTATTCCGGCCCACAATCCTGTCCTTTACGACTGAAACTAATTGACAAAATAATTGCCAAATTAATTGATTTAAAATATTTTTTAAAACTAAATATAATTTAATAGAATAACTGAAACTTTGAAAATATGCAAAAATAAAATTTTATGTATTAATTGTTTGGAAACTATAAAAATTCAAAAATGTTTTGCGTGAAAGGCTTCAATGGAGAAAATATATGGCTTTTCAAGTTTATGATAATTATATAGCATTTAAACAGTATTCTCATTATGTTATAAATCAAATTAATTTGATTTAAATTTAATAACAGTAGAAATAAGTAAAGCTTAACATAATAGACTCAGTGTATGTTAATAGTAGTTCATAAAATAAAATAAGTGATTCAAAATACCTTTCACAAAATCGTGAGGTCCGCTCATAATATACTGGTCTGCATGAGTAAAGTCGGCAGAAATCAGTAGATTTTTGCCGTCACTTAATCCCAACGACACGTCTATTAAGCAATTTATGATTAATAAAATCAAAATTAGTGTTTGTTTTGACATTTTATTTCGCACTTCAATACAAATATCTCTCACGAAAACTGAGTGCACTTTAAGGGCATTAGTATTGAAGACTGCATTTACGGCGAGTTTTATGTAGTATTTCGTTGGAGTGGTAGACGTGATACGGAAGTGGATTACGGATTATCTCAATAGGGGATTAACTGTCAATTTAAATCCCTGTTTATCTGTACACATTAACCAGTCATTGACACCAAAATAACAGTATTTTCTAAAAGCTATTCAAAATATAATTACAAATTAATGGCTAATTTTTAACTGTTTATTGCATTGTATATTGATTTGAATTAATGTTATAAATTATAACTTATAATGTTTTATATATTCAATTGATAAAACTGCTTGTTTGCTAATAAATCTGTTAAATGAAAAAGATTTTAGTTACAATTCAGTCACTATTTTATGCCAACTAATAGACTCTTTTATGAATTTAAATAATTAATAATACCGTAGTTTTATGAATATTATGTATTTTATTTCGATACAATTTAGTCATACATTATATGCATGAAGTTAGAAATTAATTGAATCAAGATTCTTATAAATTAATTTTACATTCATTTTCTTGGTTTACAAAAAGTAATGAATTAACAATCAGATTGTGAACAACAATATAGATATGATGAGTTAAACAAAATACAAAAAAGCTTAGAAAAGGTTCAATTATTAGGGAATTTGACATTAATATAAAACGATGGAGACTAAGGTGTAGGGGCCACCAGAAAAGTGACGGCACAACTGGCCATACAAGCGCCTTGAAGACCATTACACGCTAATACAGCGACCG